TATAATCTGTAATTGTATGTAACTTTTGTCCAGGACTCCCTTGAAAAAGAGGTTCTGAATCTCAATGGAACTTTCCTGGTTGAATAAAGGAGAAATAAAAAAAATATATATATATAGTTGTGTGTGTATGTACAGTATATGCTTTCACACTTGACTTGACACAAACTAGATGAATGCAAGGCCGTCAACTTTCACATCAAGTGGAGGAGCTCTTGTGGCTCGTGGAACTGTCTGTGTAACTCTTGACAGCTTCAGAATCAGAATTTTTTGTTTCAATAGACAGGAGGAGGTTGAAGACTGTTTTATATCTGTGCCATTGATCTCATGCTGAAGGTTCTCGCCACACCAAAACACAGGTGCATTCGGTTACATATGAAATGAATGGTATTGTGGACTTAGCGGTGGTTTCCATGGTAACTACAACCCGTGCAGTATACCCCGAACATATATAATGTACCTGATTTAAAGTTTGTGTTTGTATCTTCATAGTGTAAAGGAAAAGCATCCATTAATACCATCCATTTTCTTCCGCTTTATCCGTTGCCGGGTTGCGGGCAGCAGCCTAAACTTCCCAATCCGCACACACACCTCCTCCTGCTCATCTGGGGGGATCTCGAGGCATTCCCAGACCAGCTGAGAGACACAGCCTGGGTCTTCCCCTTGCCACTTCAATTGTTTCCTCTCGACGGGGAGAAACATCGGCTCTACTCAAAGCTCCTCACCAGTTGATTCGGCAGTTCCCGAAGGTGTGGGGGTTGGGGGGGTCTACTGCTATTCAGAAGCTGCAGTGATTACATTTGCTCACTAGGAGTCAGCGTAACAATGAAACGCTTCGAAACACTGACACAGTTGATACACAAACATTGATGCATAATGTGAAGCAGTGATGGCAGTGTCAGAGTCATGGGTCTGAGGCTATCGCTACCCACAATGCACTGCTGAGGAAAATAGTAATGATCCCTTTGTCTACTAAAACAAGACCAAATGAATAGGCCATTTTCTTTATTTTTACAACCTGTAATTGACAAACCCAAGCCAAAGTAGGACTATTTAAACTACTTGGGTGTTTTTCTAGACCTGTTTAAACACTAGGTTATAGGGTAAATGCTCTGGCTTATATGCAGACTTTTAGATATAGTTAGTAAATCTTGATCTCGCACACGCAGATTCAATTGTAGAGGTGCCGGATCCATGAATCTCCAATTTCAGAGGTGCTGGAATAGGTGAAATAGGTGAAAGACCGCTGAGGCTCCTTCTCTTCAGCGAATCGATATAAGAGCAGTTTGTCAGCTGAAGATGGATGGACCCCCAAAACTCCCCGAATCCCTCACTCTCTCTTGCACCGCGGCTACCTGTGGTAGAGTCTCCGGAGAACACAGCCACATAAATAAACCACAAGAGAAGAGTAAACCCAGCAATAACCGCGCAGCTAAAGTGGATTTTTTTTTTCAGGTGGAGGCCAGAGGAGCAGTGGCGGTGTATGGTGTCACCGGCTCCTATTAACCCTTAATCTAAAGGGGTTAATCGACTTATAGGGGATTGCAGGTGTGTGCTTTTCCTCCTGTATGGGTTAGGTATTTATTATTATACCATGTTTTAGCCACAATGTCTTTGTCAAACACTTTTTCTTTCAGATCAGTGCCGATAGGAATGCTGCTGGGAAGTGGGCAGGGCTTGAGGTTCCAGGTATGTAAAATTCCCCATTAAGAATTAAAAATGTGGTTAGTAAGCTGCATAGATCTAAAACACTGCCTCCCCATGTTTAGTCCTGACTCTGGCACCAGGCGACCAGTCCCTCTGCTCCTCAGAGTCCGAGGTGGTTCATATGGCACTAACATGTCTCAGATGTACTTTGGTGCAAGACCATGGAGAGACTTTAACCCTTTAATGTTCAATCCTTAAAGAACTCCATGTATTTTTTTTATTTTTTTCCTGAAATGTAGGAGCACCAATAACACAAATAATTAGTGTTTTTGTTATTGTTTTTTTTAATATAGGCCTTTACCAAATGGATGAGATGCGGTTTGATGGTAAAAGTGCCGCAAACCAAATTATATAAATGCCCCAACGAGCTAGATTTCAGTTCCAAGCTTCAAGTAGATCCACAAAATGGGATCCACCAAATGGTTGAGGAAATCGAGAGAGACAGATACAGATGCAGACAGAGACAGACGACAGATACAGACAGATACAGATACAGACAGAGACAGAGACAGAGACAGATACAGATAAGATAAGATAAGATTTTCTTTATTTATCTCACATAGGAGAAATTTACATGTCACATTTGGCATGGATAGAGACACTCAGATTGTGCAAAAGGAGGAAATGTGCAAACATGTTACATGCATATGTAGTGACAATAATTATGTACAACAAAAGTGACAAGTGTCAATTGGAAACAGTGTCAATAGTAGTGCAGGTTTTCACACAGTGATCATTTAAAGTGACTTATTGTACAGTCTGACAGCGGTGGGGATAAAGGCCCTGCGGTAGCGCTCCTTCCTACACTGAGGGTGCCTCAGTCTTCCACTGAAGGAGCTCCTCAGCTCCTTTACAGTTCTGTGCAGACAGAGACAGATACAGATACAGACAGAAACAGATACAGACAGAGACAGACAGATACAGACAGAGACAGATAGATACAGACAGAGACAGATAGATACAGACAGAGACAGATACAGACACAGACAGATACAGACAGAGACAGATAGATACAGACAGAGACAGAGATTTATCCATCTATTTATTTATTTGAATGGGACAGTGCATGTCGATGAAAAGACACATTGGAAAAAGGAAAGAAAACATGCCAGATTATAGCCACATCCTAATTGCCATCTGTAGTTCTCTATGGGGTATCAATAAAGCATCTATCTATCTATCTAAAATAATTCCGATCCTTAGTTAGTGGCACATGTCCCAATCAGCTTGTTGAAACATTGAAACAGGAAGTGAGGTTACTCCCAAAGCCCACTTACTCGTTCTGTTCTGTCAGTTCTGTTGTCAACTTGGAACAGTCCATTCTGACCAGCGTTTGACCAGTGAGTCAAACCTGTCACTTCATCCAGTTCGGGAACGAAGCCGGGAAAAATGCCCCTGAGCTCGTGCGAAACATCCCCGCCGATAGTCACCATGGCAACCACATAATCATGGCGACGCGCTTCACCTGTCCTTCGTTATGGATGGACGGCGCGCGAATAATAATGAGAGTGTGATTTGTACAGAGCCAAAACTTGTGAGAGGAAAGAAGCCATTTGTGGTTGTGGCGATAGGAAATGGGAAACTTTTTGTCATGGTGAAGTAATTTTTCAACCCCTGTATCTTCCTTAGTTCTACTTCCTGTTCCCATCAATTCAACGTCTCCAAGTTCTTGTCTTTGTCCCCAGTTTGATAACGTTTTGTATTTTTACGCTGGATTTAGATTTTGTATTTGCTTTGATTAGTACTTATTTATACAGCCCTGTGTTTTGGGTTCATTTCATTTTGCCATCATTCTTCATTTACCTAAACTTTATCCATCCAAATCTACAGTGGTATGTATCATTTACTAAAGCAGGGGTGTCAAACACATGGGCTGAATAAAAAGACTAGGAACTGGTCAGGGGCCGAAGAATAGAAGGTATTATGAAGGTATGTTGATTTTTTTCTTGAAACAGAATAATTTTACTTTTTAGATTGAACCAAACCCTTATCTATTATAAAGTTAAACACCTTGTTTTATATTTATATATTAAACTTCTAATGATGTGTTTGGGTAACATTTTAGAATACATTCAATTTGTTTTTTTCTTGAGAGAATAGATTATGTATAACAGGCCTTGGTTAACCCATAACCATAAATTCTGCAAGTTATAAATAGTAATTGTCTATTACTTCAGGGGCTACTAAAAAACGTCTTGAGGCCCGGATTTGGCCCACAAGCCTGAGTTTGCCAAACGCCTGTATTAAAGTATTCTGGAATGGCCATCTGATCATCCGTCCTCAAACCTGATTTTTATTGAACATTTGACGTGGGATTTACAACAGACTGTCCATGACCGGAACCCATCAAACCTGACTGAACTAGACCTGCTTTGCAAAGAAGAATGGTCCAAAATACCTTCCACCAGAATCCAGACTCTAGGAAGTCCTCTAATTGTAAGTTATACTGTAGGAAGCGTTTTGAGGGTGTCATTTCAACAAAAAGAGGATGCACTAAATATTGAGTTGATTATTTTTTGTGGTGCCTACATTTAGGCCTATTTTGGTTTAAATAGTGACCCACAGGGATCTTTTTTACAAGATACTGCTGCTTGAGCATAGGTACAGTGTATTCATCCCAAATCGTTTCTCTCCCTGCTACGATTTCCACAATAACTCTGCTTTGTATTTCTTTTACAATAAGTTGTTTACTCCTGGACTTTTTGAACTACATTGATTTTTATACCTACAAAACACACACACACAGCTTTTTCAAGAAACTTGAAAAAGCTATGATTTAAGAAGTATAATATTTTGATAGCTATGAATTTATTTTATTCATTATCAACATGTATAACAAACAGAAGCTCAATCTCACTTTGACATCTATTAGTAAACAAAAAGTAAATAGACTTTTGAAAAATATTCTAATTTTCTGAGTTTCACTTGTTTGTGTCAATTTCCTATAGTTTTAGGTGTATTTATATAACTTGTTAACCCAGTGTCTTCCTTGCCTTATCTCTATTTAAACCATGCGTTGCCATGGGTTACGTTTTGCATTTTTTTACTCTGGATTTTGTTTTTGTATTTACTTGAATTAAGTCACTCTTTTTGTAATCAAGTACACAGTATACAAGTATAGAGAATGTCATGGCAACGCAATATGTTTGTGATTGTTTTCATTCATTTTTTGGCCTGCCTTGTGTAACCTAGCAACAGCGAGCACAATCCAAACCCGCATTTTGCAACTCGCATTGTTCGAAAATCAGCTTTCCTCTCTGCGGCAAAACTTTGGTCAAGCGGTGGAGGACAAAATCATGGAGACAATCGACAAATCAAGGCAGAAACTGAAACCGGAACTGAAGAAAGAGCCACGGACCACCGCCGAGAAGTGTTTTTCGGAGCAGGGGAAGCCGCGAGAAGCTACGGATGAGGCCCAAAAGGACAAGAAAGAAATGGCAGAGCTGATGAGACTGAAGACAGCAGAAGATTTGACCAAAAAACGGGTGAGAATGCGAGTCCAGCTAAATGTACAGATGGACAAAGACCCAGGGAACAAAACCATATGGCTGAGGCTATTGCTGGGAGGTCACCACAATCCAATCCCGGACGTCAAAGGTGAAACCGAGTCTGGAGACAAGACGGAAATGGCCAAGGCTGAAAAAACCATTCAAATCATCCCCAAACCAGCCGTGGGTCAAGTATCGCAAAGGAAGCCGCAATTTAAAGACGTCTGGAGGAGGAAGAAGAAAAAGAAGAAGAAGATGAAGAGGAGATTCATCTATTTCCACAAGAGCATAAGAAGGAAAAAGAAAAAACGCAAGAGGAAGAAGAGGAAGAGGAGGGAGATACGAAAAGGCCGCTGATTCGACCGTGAAAGAAAGTGTTGTCAATACAGCAATAAATATAGCAACAAGTGTAATTCTTGCGCATGTCTTTTTGTGGAATCTTAGCTAATTTAGGTTTGTTTTGTATTTGGCCTTTCTGTTTGGAGTTTGCATGTTGTCGCCATGTCTGCGTAGGTTTCCTCCAGGTGCTCCAGTTTTCTCTACAGCTAAAAACATGTACAGTGAATTGATGGCCATGTGCACTATCTGTGGAGAGAATAGAAATGACTGGTACACCAAAAGTGCTATGTACTACTCACCTTGTTAGAAATTAGACTAAGCTAAGTGATAACATTTCACATTGTTTTGTTAATTTTAGTTTTAGAACATAATTAGAATCTTATTTTGAACTGGGAATAGCATTTCAAACTTAAAAGAGAGAACTCTGGGGTACCAAACTTCATTAAATATTTTTTTACTAGACAGAAAAGTATAAAAGAGGACCACGCTCACTCAGCCATATAGTGGTAGCTCTCAGCCCAAAGCTGCAAAAAGTGACTCAAAGGGATTTATCTTGCCAGTATGGAAAAGTTAACTCGTCTTCTGAAGATACTGTATGACGACGGCATGTTGTGGTTTGATACGGTCACATAATTTCATTTTTACAAGACTGTTTCTGTCAGGACAATGGGAATATAGAAAGATAGATACAGTAGATAGATAGATAGATAGATACAGTAGATAGATAGATGGATACAGTAGATAGATGGATAGATACAGTAGATAGATAGATAGATGGATACAGTAGATAGATGGATAGATACAGTAGATAGATAGATGGATACAGTAGATAGATGGATACAGTTGATAGATAGATAGATAGATGGATACAATAGATAGATAGATAGATGGATAGATAGATAGATAGAGTAGATAGATACAGTAGATAGATATAGATAGATACTTTATTAATCCCCTGTAGGAGAAATTCAGGTGTCCAGCAGCAGCAGAAGAAGAAAGAATATGTATTATTTATGAATCCAAGTTAATTTCCTGGGCTTTGAGTGGAAATAGAAAGGGATGGGTAGAGATGGGTATTCAGCCAAAGCTCCCATCTATAATGGTAATTTCCTTCTGCTAGATTTATTTGGATAAGATTGTTTTTTCAGATACTACTTTCAATATTCATGGTCTGAATGAAGGGATCATTTAACCCAAAACTAATTTTACAGACAATTTAAAACTGCTCTATCCATGACGCCATACTGTGAGGATTCTCTTGAGGGACAAGTTTGGGCCAGATATTAGTGTGGATGGTTTTGGAGTCTGTTTTGGAGAACGGAATACGGTTGTAAAAGATAAAAAAGAGAATTGGCCATATACAATCTTTAATACAAAACGGCTCCAGTGACCTTTACCTGGTGCTCTATATACTGCAGACCGTGCAGATTGAGCCATAAATCAGAGACATTATACTTTGCATATTCATTTTACTTTTTAATCTCATCAAAAACCAATTTGTCTTCCAGGCCGTTCAATTACTATTTGAAACTGTATTGCATTTGGCTCCTGTTCTCTTAGGGAGCTTGTAGAGTCCTACGTTTGGACCTAGATGGGAGGTGATACTCTTGTTGTAAAGACAAAAAACAGTTCTGAATATGTCCAGTGTAAGAATTCATAATTTCATTTGAGGAGAATTTAGACATAATGTGAAGGAAGAATGTGTGAGAATCCATCCATCCATCCATTTTCTTCCGCTTTATCCGTTGCCGGGTCGCGGGGGCAGCAGTCTAAGCAGAGACGCCCAGACTTCCCTATCCACACACACTTCCTCCAGCTCGTCCGGGGGGACCCCTAGGCGTTCCCAGGCCAGCTGAGAGACATAGTCCCTCCAGCGTGTCCTAGGTCTTCCGCGGGGCCTCCTCCCGGTGGGACGTGCCCGGAACACCTCCCCAGGGAGGCGTCCAGGAGGCATCCGGAACAGATGCCCGAGCCACCTCAACTGGTTCCTCTCGACGTGGAGAAGCAGCGGCTCTACTCCGAGCTCCTCCCGTGTGACTGAGCTCCTCACCCTATCTCTAAGGGAGCGCCCAGCCACTCTGCGGAGGAAGCTCATTTCGACCGCTTGTATCCGCGATCTCGTTCTTTCGGTCATTACCCAAAGCTCATGACCATAGGTGAGGGAGGGAACGAAGATTGACCGGTAAATCGAGAGCTTTGCCTTTCGGCTCAGCTCCCTCTTTACCACAACGGTCCGATACAGAGACCGCATCACTGCGCACGCTGCACCGATCCGCCTATCAATCTCCACCCACCTGTAGAGGGCAAGGCACCTTTTTCCGGTCGAGCACCATGGCCTCGGATTTGGAGGTGCTGATTCTCATCCCAGCCGCTTCACACTCGGCTGCAAACCGTCCCAGTCCATGCTGTAGGTTCTGGTTCGTTGGAGCCAACAGGACAACATCGTCCGCAAACAGCAGAGATGAAATCCTGTGGTCTCCGAACCGGACCCCCTCCGACCCTTGGCTGCGCCTAGATATTCTGTCCATAAATACAGTGAACAGAACCGGTGACAAAAGGCAGCCCTGTCGGAGGCCAACATTCACCGGGAACAGGTCTGACTTACTGCCGGCAATGCGAACACAGCTCTGGCTCCGGTCATACAGGGATCGGATGGCCCTCAGCAGAGGACCTCCGACCCCGTACTCCCGGAGAACCCCCCAAAGGACACCCCGGGGAACACAGTCGAACGCCTTCTCCAAATCCACAAAGCACATGTGGACAGGTTGGGCGAACTCCCATGAACCCTCGAGTATCCGATGGAGAGTATAGAGCTGGTCCAGTGTTCCGCGACCGGGACGAAAACCACACTGCCCCTCCTGGATCCGAGATTCGACCATCGGCCGTAGCCTCCTCTCCAGTACCTTGGAGTAGACCTTACCGGGGAGGCTGAGGAGTGTGATCCCACGATAATTGGAACACACCCTCCGGCCCCCCTTCTTGTAGAGAGGGACCACCACCCCGGTCTGCCACTCCATTGGCACGGCCCCCAATCGCCACGCGATGTTGCAGAGACGTGTCAGCCAAGACAGTCCTACAACATCCAGAGACTTTAGATAGTCAGGACGGATCTCATCCACTCCCGGCGCCTTGCCACCATGGAAGCTACCAACCACCTTGGTGACCTCAGCCAGGGAGATGGATGTATCCGCCCCAACATCCTCAGCCTCTGCCTCTGAAATAGAGGACGTGACGGGGGGATTGAGGAGAACCTCAAAGTATTCCTTCCACCGCCCGACAATATCCCCAGTCGAGGTCAATGTGTGAGAAGTTTTTGATATTAGCGTGGATGGTGGACAATATTGGGACGCGGTTAGAAATTCAAGTTTCTTTCACAAATTTCTCAAAACATGTTATCTATTAAAGGCGCTATACCTGTTTCTGCAAGGTTTGAATGTTTAGCACCGCCCCCCAACTCGCTCAATGACTTCTCTTTTCCCCTACGCTCTCATAACACAGAGCCATCTAGCTCAATTTGCAATCTGACATGTATGCTAACATTAGCATTAGCACAACTTCTTGTAAGCTGTTCAAGAATCACTGATGAAATGGTACTAAAGCAACGCACTGCTAACACAATATATAGGTAAAAGAATACTGCAAGTTTCGCATCCGAATGTATTCATTTAACATTAGAATATATTCTAATATTTATTTATAATTTATTATACAGCTCCTCACAGCAGCAACACTCCATTGACTTGAATGTAATTCCACCGATCATATTTTCTTGATAACAGAACTCTCAAATCAATAATGACCGCTGCCCTTTGATAATGCAATCTCTGTTTGTAATACAGGAGTGTAAAATACTGCCATTACTTTGCAAGTACAACGAGAGAAGCTAGCGGAGCTAGCCATGCACAATAATCAACTACATATCTATCAATCAACACCATTAAATGTTAATCGGACAATACAGTATACATATACATCCTTAACGCACATGCACGGATGTTTTCAGAATTTCTTGTTATCGTTTTCATGACCAAATTACTATTTTAATATGACAAAAAGCGATCGCGAAAAACCTGGAAGTTACCATTAACATGTAGTTCCAGGGAGCTAGCTAGCTTAGCTGTTACCTGCCTAGCACGTCCCGGTGGAACCTTTGGGAGCTAACTATTTTATTTGCAGTTATTGAATGCATTTCGAATTAAAAGGGCTGTCTAATATGTGTTCAAATATATATATATTTTTTTTATTTTATAATTATATTTGAAGTCGAAGCCCCGGTGTTAAGCAGCGCTGTAGGGGCTAGAGGACGCAGGTTGTTCGCTGCTCGTTCTGTGAGTGGAGGAGAACGAGCGTCCCGCTAAGACTCTACTCAGCACTCTTCACTGCTTGTATTCTTACACAGCTGAATCAATTACCTCAAGTTTTCAATTAAATTACGGATTATAATACAACTTGTATGTAGTAATAAGCATTTTTATCAACTACTTAGAAAAAAAATCGGGTATAGCTTCTTTAAGAAGCTGGCAGCATGTTGAGGTCCGATTTGCAGTCTATAATCAGTCTGTAATATGTATTTTACTACATTTTTTTTACATAGTTGTTTTGTTTAAGTACAAGCTAAGGCCCAATCTGTGACGCCATCCTTTTTTCTTGGTTGTGATACAGTCAGTGAAGGTAATTTCTGTTATTAATCAAACAATTTCAGTGAATGAAGCAGATGTCGCACAACACTTAACGACATTCTCTCAGATTCATGCCCAGGAGCCGCTGCAGAGTCACATGTGATGCATAAATGTCGTATGCATCAGACATAAATCACATGTGCAGGGGAAAATACATGTGGCCGTATTTGCATGTGTAATCCAGATCCCGTCAGATCTCTGAAGCTGTACAGAGGCAGAGTATGGTTAGTATTGTGATGGGAGACCTCTGGGAACACCAGGTGCCACAGTGGGGCGGCTGTAAAGTGACAAACTGTTGTTGTGTCCTTAGGCAAGACACTATACCCCCATTAGAATGAG